ATCGTTGCGCGCTCGCAACAGTGTAGCTCTATGCAGCACCGATATGGTGGGAGAAGGTGGGGAATACTACCCACCTTAAAAAACAGATGGAGGCGGCCCAAAAGGTAATCGCTATTAGGGCCGCCAGATGCTATAGGATCGTCTCCCACGTGGGGGCGACTATCATCGCTGGGATTCCCCCGGTTCACTTGATCGCCGCATCGTACGCGGAAATGTACGGACGCACAAAGGCGATCAAGGACAGGCTGGGGGAAGTCCCGGCGAGAGCGAAGGGAGAGCTGAGGCTCCAGATCTCGCGGTCTCTCACCCAAAAATGGAAGGATTACCTTCTTGATCCGCGATTACAGGGTGAGAGAATGCGGGAAGCCGTTCAACCGGTACTGGAGGAGTGGTTGGAGCGTAGGAAACGCGGTACTACGTTTCACACATTGCAGGTGATATCCGGTCATGGATGTTTCGGAGATTACCTGCTGTGGATCAGGAAGGAGCGCACCACACGCTGCCATCATTGCCCGGAGGAGGAAGACACGGCGCAGCACACGCTGGAATGTTGTCCAACGTGGGCAGAGGAGCGCCGTGTCCTCCGGGCAGCGGTAGGGGAAAATCTCTCTCTCCCGGCAGTCATTCGCGCGACTGTCGAGGGGGGAGAGGCTGACAACAAGTGGAGGGCGTTCGTCTCCTTCTGTGGCAAAGTAATGTCGCAGAAAGAGGCGAACAAAAGGATCAGAAGGGGGGAGGTTGATTCTCCTGCCAGCGACAGCGACGATGACGAAAACGGGGCCCCAAGGCCGCCCCCCCCCCCGGTTAGGGGGAGACGGAGACGGGGTGATCAAAGGAGCATCGGAGCGCTGGGTACAGGGCAGGATTAAGGACGAAGTCTGAGGGGAGTGGGAATATATTCCTGCCCCTTCTCGTCGACTCTCCCCAAAAGGGGGAGGTCGTCTAGGTTAAAAGGTGGTTAAAGGAGAGAGGGGGGGACGAGGGGCACAGCGAATGCGAGGGCTCCTTCTCCCCCCCCTTCCCTGGGAAAGGACAGGCAGCGCCGGACTTTGGTTCGACGCGGCCCGTCGGGTCGACATAGTCGACGTTTTGGAAGCGGGTCGGGGGGGGCTCGGGCGGGTTCCCTAAGGAGCTCCCGCCACAAGTGCTCCACCCGATCCGCGGAGGGTGGGGGGCGGTGTTTGGGGAAACCAGACCACTGCCCTCCACCTGCCCTCTACGAGAGGGTGCGAGGGGGAGAAGAGCCCGTAGCCTAGGCAGCGGTTACTCCTCCCCCATCTCGCCCGGGGGCGGGCGCGTGGTCGGGGAAAGCCACGTGCCCGTGCCGCTCGCGGCAACCCCGGAGGAAGAGAAGATGAGTGGGGCTAATACTTTCCACTCATCACAAAATTCAGGGGAAGCGCGGGGAGGCTCACGGACGGATCCATGTTTTCCAGGGCCTCCCAAGTAGCGCAGTGAGGTATTCAGAGAGGTTTTTAGTGAGTGGAAACCTCACATAACCGCCCTCCCCACCCCGGGGGAGGAGGTATTTGTTACGAATTTTCCTTCTCCGTTATAAAAAAAAAAAGGTCGGGGACTACGACCGTCGTATATCGCTACGCCATGATATGTGCTTTGACTCTTCATTGTTTATATACAAAATATTACATATAACAACTAAAAAATAAGAAGTTAACTTTGTGACGTGACAAATGTCGCGTCCCTTACCCCAGATGGGAGCTCGGCCGAGGGAGGCGTCAGGGATGGTGCCTCCGCCCGAGGCGGGCGGAGAGCGAACCTTGAGGTTAGGAATAAGATTTTTTGCGAGCGTTACAGGTCGAGGGAGTGCGGAGCAGGTGGCCAGGATCACGACAAGTGTAACGGCTAATGCCGCGTCGAGGGACTTACGGCCGGGCAACCGGGAGCTTGCGTGGGCGTACGGTCGGCGGGCGGGTCACGCTGGGGCCCATAGCCAGCAGATCAGCTGACCAGTCAAGGCGTCGCAGGAGGCCCGAGAGCACTGCAGCCCGAATACGGAGGACGCGGAGAGGGGGACGCCCCGACGAAGGTCCCCGGTGAGGAACGGGGCAACCACCGCTGTGAGCCGCCCCCGGTCGACGAGCCATGGCCCGTCCAGCCTGGCCGTCGAGGAACCGGACGATGAGACGCGGCCTGGACAGCCGGTCTCAGATAGGCGGACTTAAAACTACCGCCGGCGGATGGGCGCAGTGACGAGGGGCGCTCTAGTGAGGCGCGGCGATCGCCTAGAGGGATCGCTGGCAGGCCAGGGCGCAGCACCGACCGGGCTAGGGAAACCGGCGCGCGGGCGCGCGCGGGCCCTGCGTGGTCCCGCCGGACCAAGGAAACGCCACTGTCGTGCGAGCCGCCATCCCGGCAACTACGAGCCCTGGAAGCCGAGCGACGAGCTGCCGGAATCGACGAAATTTGTAAGGCCACTACTCTGCCTTCCTCGAAGTAAGATCGCGAGAATATTTAGGCCCTCCCGGGAGTCGCGTTGTGCCGCGGTAATGTATGGAATCAGCCGTAATTAAAGAATATCGGGTGATATACCGCGGGAGGGCCCGTGCGACGAAGTGATCGCGAGTGCCCGTCTCGGGGATGAAACGTACGGCCGCCGACAGTCAGCGTACTTGTAATTTCGTCGTGATATCGTTTCGTGTATTTCGTTGCGTATGATTTTGTTGTGAGTAATCGTGGTGAGTAATTTCGTTTCGCGTAATCTCGTTGCGGGTGATTGCGTCGCGTGGAATTTCATGATCGCCGTTGGCTTAACCGTGCCGTCGTTTTGAGAAGTGGCTCTCGCGCGTGAGAGGGCCTCGTAGTTATCGTTGCCGGTTAAGTTCAGGTCATTAGTAATTAGCTAGACGTGCGTTTCGTCGGGATGCATGGCCCACAGTTGTGTCGAGTTAACGGGTGAGGCCATTCGTGCGTTTCGAGGGGAGAGAAGATCCCCAGCGTTGTCGCGGTAGACCGTAGGGAAATTGCGTTAATTGTTCAGTTGTTAGACGTAGACGTTTTGAGTATTTCGCGTTTGACCATCCGGGTAGAATTCGCTGCAACTTATGTCGGGGAATACTTTTGTACGAATTCGATCGGGATTGCCGTGCAGCTCAGCGACGGAATGAGTATCGCGCTCGTGGGGTGACACGTGGCGTGTACTCGAATTCTGCTTGTTCGCCGTGGAACACGTTATCGTCCACATGTTATCTGCCTTAACCGAAATATAACTTTGTTTTATGTTATTTGAGTGTGATGATTGCGCTACGCTCCCTCTCCTATTCCACCCGCGGTTGATCAAAGAAGCCCACGCCTGAG